CACACGTTTGGTGTAATAAATTTGTCCTCTGTGAAACAGTCCTCTGTTGGCAATGAACAAGAAGAAAAGAATCTGCCAAGCAGTGCTGTCACCCTTTGCCCAACTATAACAATAACTAATCCATTCATCACAATAAATTGAGTAATATCTCAGTTTTGCTTACTAGAAAAATGGGAGAATATTCTTAACAATCTTCCCAACAGGTGATCCAGCCAGTCCCCCACTGAAAGTCACTGGATTTTTTATCAGGGTGTAGGAACTCAGAACTGGGTGTAACGGGCTGAATCATTCTTTGCTGGAATCACACCTAGCCAGTTCAGTTAGAAAGTTGTTTATTTCCAGAATATTCAGACCAACATTCAGACCCAGATGTCTTGGTTCACTAAATCCAAAGGCAGGCAAACTGTCTTTGCAAAAGATTCAATTCACACTGCAAATATAACAAGGAAGAAGAACCTGTGCCCTGTCCCCAAATTAGCCAGACAGTTCCTAGCAAATTCACGAGAGTGGCCAATGATCAGCAGGAAACAACTGTCTTCCATTTTGCAGTTGAAAGAGTGGAGCTCCTGTTGCTGATTATTATACTTTCCCTCTTTCTTGTTGTTCATAATGCTGGCATCTCTCAGCTCTGATGTAATGGACGGTAGGAATAACCTTGAGGAACAGGAGGAAGAGCCACAAACGAGGCAATGGTCAGATAAAAGAAATTTGAGTTGGAGGCAGACATGTAATTTGAGAAAGTGTCTCAGACTTGACGCTTCCTAGTTCTCATGAAGATAAAGGGAAGGAGGAAGAAGCACATTCAGACTTACAAGATTCTGTTCCTGTAACCCTATAATGAAAGTAGTATTAGCATTCATAACTTTGGTTTCCTACTCTGGTCTGCCTCGAAGGGCTGACCTCCTTTCACTTGATCCAAGGGGACAGAGCTTTAGCAATTCTCTTACACATGTAAAAAAGGGGTGGGGTTTTGGTCATATGGTTGTGGCCACTTTCTTGATTTTTTTTGACACACACACCCATGGACACCACTGGTGCCAGATGAGCAATTTGGACATGGATGTTGGACAGGTTAAAGCATTCGTTTTTGCACTCCCAGACTGGAGTCCCTTGGATCAGCTGTTGTGTTCTCAGCATTTCACGATCACCTGCAATGTGTGACTCAACTCTTGGGTTGGTTCTAAACTGTTTCACAGGTTTTGGAGGATGAAAACAGGAGTGATGTGGAAGTGTCCTCGGTGCCCTCTAGTGTTTCAGCAGCAGGTGCCCTCCCACACACCCCTTCTTCATAACACTACCTCTTTGCTTTGCTTGCCAATTTGTCTAATAAAAGATTCTGGAGAATGTGAACACTAATACAAGAATTCTTTAATCATTTCTTCATCTGGAAAATTGCTATGTCATCCTTCTTTTAATAGCTCCAGCCAGCTTACATAGTACATAGTAAAGACATCATTAACCTCTACTGAAAACAAAACAGAATAAAAATAGTTGTAAAATTAAAGCTAAACCAGTGGGATGAAAAGCACTAGGAAAAGAGATATTGAGTGACTTTAGAATCTAATACAGCTTTTTCCTTAATAAGAGTTTTCAAATGCAGTGTGGTATAGTATTAAAGGTGTGGGACCAGGAGCAGAGAAACCCAGATTCTAATCCACCTCCAATCATGGAAACTCTGTATGTGATTTTGGGCCAGTCTTCTCTCAGCTCAGCATATCTCCCAGGGCTTTTATTATGGAACAGAGTAGGAGTTCTTTGTATTCTTCCTTATGCTCCTGTACAAAAGGTGGGGAAAACTCAAATAAATAAACAAACAAACAAATGGAAGAAATAGCCCATTCAATTCAGAGGAACTTTTTTCCACAGTTGATTAAGATCACAGCCTTGCTTGACAATACAGTAAGCCTTCTTGAGTTCACAACTGTATTCCTAGATTGATCTAGATAGGCTGATCAAGGTAGCAGTTACTTCCTTGTAAGGATTTCCCAGTTCTCAATTGCAATATTATTCCACAAACTCTAACTCTCAAAGACCCAAAATGTTATGATTGTGGTGACCCCTCCTCTTTGAACACTCAGCAATTGAACCAACTCTTCAGGCCTTTGGGAGTTTTTTTCTGACAAGCAGTTACTTCCTGTTGCGTGTGCCGGAGAAACAGCTAAAAGTTGCTCTACAGGCAGAGCAATAACTCATAGGCCAAGAGTCAAACCACTTCATGGCCTGTGGAGTTTACTACACAGCTGGGCAGAAGAGCCAGGACTGCATTCAATAGGTTTTTGAGCAGCAGCTGTATGCTAGTTGTTGCGTAGGTCTCAGAGGGGGATCACACCCATCCAGAGAAGTGGAGAACTTGTATTAGAGCCCAGATGCAATGAAGTCTGAACAGAAATAAGAATAGCTGAGCACCGAGGGATTTTTTTGGGTCTCTCAGTGGTGTCTTCTCAGAAGCAAGACCCACTTTCAGAGAGGCTTACTTACTGGGTGTCAAGTTGCAACTGAAGTGCACATATTTAAGCTAAGTGGCACCTATTTTGTGTGTATGTATGTATGTATGTATGTATATGTATATATATATGACCAGCCTGTTTTCTATTGAACTGCCTGACACATCTCTTTGATCAAAGCAGAAGGACAGAACAATAATAGTTAGCACCAGTTGAAGCCAAAGACTGAAAGTGCTTCTTCAAAGGCCAGTGAAGAGGGAAATAAATGCAGTGCCCTCCCCACCACTGAATTCTACCCAAGCCAGAAGATAAGATGACTGTCTGTTCCCTCCACCCACAGTTCCAAAGCCAAATTAGGTTGGCAACCGAATCTCCCTTCAGTGTTGGATTGCTTCACTGCTAGGATAATGTTCTCTGTCTGATAACATTTCTGAGATCAGCAGGCTAATCTACAGGTTACAGGAGACAGTCTGTCCTCCTCTCCAAGGAAAGAAGCAGAAGAAACATCTTGGAGACAGTAACTGCTACCCCCAAGCCCAGCGTTTTCCAGTCAAGAACATTGCTTCCTTCTGCTTAAAGCAGTGTTGTCCAAACTTGGCCACTGTAAGATGAGTGGACTTCAACTCCCAGAATTCCCCAGACAGCCAT